TGTTGTTGTTGTTGTTATGGTGGTGGTGTTGCTATAGTATAACACTGAACTCTGCAACACCACCCTGCGCCACTCAACTGTGCTATAGGTATCAAGGTTCGAACCCGGTGTTGCCTCTGTGACTATAACACAGTAACTATACATCAGTGCCTCTGTGCCTTAATATATAGTTAAATAATAATACAACGTTGGAGGATTTGAGTAAAATAAGAAAAACATCAATTTGACATAAATTTATTCTATTCCTGAAGATGAGTGGAACACTTCACCTGCGAGATAAAATGACGTTATTCTCTTTATAGCTAATGAGAATTTTGACTGGTTAGTATAAAATATACACACGTATCACAGAAAGCAAGGAAAACTCTCCCTTGCACTTTGATTGACCAAGGACAGGGACATGAAACTGGGGTAATGGTGGTATTGGGCCGAAACGTGTCAGGTCCTTCTCTTCTGTGACGGGAAAAATTCATGTTTTCCTTATCGTCACCTCAGAGGAAAATTCTTCTCGAAGGACAACTGTGTATCGGACGCCGCACCAGATAGCAAAGTTTTTTATTTATATTTATAAAGGAGTGATAAGTTATAAACAACAAACGTCACACATGTGTTAGCGCTTCACACACGTGGTTATGTTCACACGTGTTGTAGCCACATGTGTTTTAATGTCACGTGTTCTGGGTCAATCAGGACTGTTAGCTTGCCTACCTTATGGCACCATGTTGATTCATTCGACAAACTAGCCAAGTCCTCAGGTATATATATACGCCAGTAACGCTCAACTCCTCTCTGGCTGTCAACACCACACGAGCTCCACGAAGCCAAGGTGGTGCTCCGTGCTGTAGTGTTATCAGTGGCGTCATAAAGGTGTGACACAGTAACAGGTGTGTTGCTCATAGCCAGATGTTCGTCCTGGGATGTCCTGGGGGGAACCTCGCCCGTGCTCTGCTGCTGGCTAGTTATTAACCACATGTTAGTTGAATTCATATTCCTGATATCTGTGTTAAATTTGGGCCAAATAACTTGATAAATAAGGAAACAAGTGATATCAGTCGTGAAAGTAAACAAAGTAACACGAAAATATATTGAACCACAAACTAAATTTAAACGTTTTGAATAATGACGGTGGTAAATAGAGCCAGTATTTATTGAACTAGTCTGTGGTATTATGATGTTTCTCTTGGGTGAATAGGCGAGAGGTGTTTGATCTCTGCCGCAGCACAGAGAGCAGGACGCCCTCCCCAGGCACCCCGGGCGTGTACTAGCGTCCTCCACAAGGATGCTCGCTTGGCGCTGGTTCGTACTTACATAGGAAACAATTATATCTCTCCCTCGAGACCACAGAGTGAGCCACAAGTCCCCTTCCTCCACCTCTGATGCTTTATGTACTTAAAGTTTACTTGTACCGCAAAAATAGGACAGTCTTGACAGTGTTGTTCCCTACACCAGAACACTGAAGTTTGTTTTATACTGTGACTAGGAATTACGAGAAATTTTACACTGTGATACATTGCCACTGTGGCCAAACACAATAGATAAGAGACAGAACATAACAAACTATATATATATATATATATATATATATATATATATATATATATATATATATATATATATATATATATATATATATATATATATATATATATATATATATATATATATATATGTATATATAATTATACTTTACTAATCTATTCAATCACGAACTGCAACATTACATTAAGTCATGAGATGGTGTTAGTGGGTCACCACTGAAACTAAGCAAGGAGATGATATTTTCATTAAGGACAAGGATGGGTGATAATTCAACTGAAAGAAGGTATAACCCACAGTATTCTGGAGACGCTGAGTAGAACTGCTGAAGAATTTACTGCACTTGTTATTGTTCCTTCACCTAATATTGTGACTGTTCTGTGATCCATTTAATGGTAGTGTTATCCTTGAAGATATATCGGTTGAGTTATTGAAAGTTAACGTTTAGGCCCAGTGATTCACTAAGAGATACTAGTCAACGGGGCTGTGGAGACGTTGGACTCATCTCTATCTCTATGGTCGCGGGAGACACTCTGTGGTGGTACCTAGACGTGCGAGAAACATATTGGAAACTGCGGCATCACTCTCAGCGTGCATAAAACTTGACCAATCAAAACTGGTCAATATTGTTACCATATTACGAGAGGCTGTGACCCCTCTGGTGAGTGGCCCTGTCTCGCGTTACCAACATGTTTCTTGCAAAAATTGACATCACCATTCTTATGTACATTAGTTCACGGGGCGACACTGACCTGCCTCGACCTCTGTTTTGTACTGCGCCCTGACCTGACCTCGGAGGGTCACGGGTCATGGGGTCACCGGCGGCAGGTGAGAGGGCAGGCTTAAGGGCTGGGTCAAGCCAGTTGGCGGGACGAGAAAGATAGTAAAAAATTATAAAGAGGCGACATATTATGAGGTGTCACCTGGATGATGAAGATGGACATACCCGTGGGTAGTGTGTTCCTCGACACAGCTGAGGGAGGACTAATCTCGGGGTTGTGCATCTTCTACATGTATCAGTTTGACGATATAAAACGATTATTTGATGCCTAAAGAACCCGTGGGTCATCAGCTGGGTGACTGACCCCGCCCCCAAGTGGTCAGCCTCCTTTTAAGTATGGCACAATAAAACTCTGAAGGGTCGCATAGAGAAGACAAGAGTCAGCTGAGTTGGAAGTAAACAAAGTCTCTGGTAAACACGAGGCCACACCGACGCCTCGCTGCTAGTGTCTTCCTCTCTTGTTGACAGTCGAGGATTACAGATGAAATGTCATATTGGATTAAACATTATTCATGTTTTACGTTAATAAAACAACAGTTATTAGATTAATAGAAAAAGAATCCATTTTAGAGGGTTTACCAGAAGATTGTTCTCTCCCAACTCAGCATGCTTCGCCCTCTTACACGTCCCCAAAACTCTAAGCTAAAATCATTTCTTTACAAATATTCCCTAAAAGTATGCTGTTATCCTGATTCACTTGGCAGAACACTGTCGGGGCTCACGAGACCGTCTCTGAGGACGGCGTCTGCAACCTCACTCAGTACAGGTTGTGTGCACGTGTTGTGAAGGGTTTAAGCCACCCCTGGGCTAAGTGTAGCGAAGGCCATGACTGTTTTGAGTCTGCTGTCATTCAGGTTTAGTCAGTCAGTCAGTCTGGTGAATTTAATTAAGTTACGTCTTCAGTTTGTTACGTCATTGAGTGAGAGTGGTTAGGATCCATCACTCACATGTTGACATTCTCCACACATGACTGATTCCTCCTCCTTGTTGGGTCTCCTCCATACTCCATCCCTCGATGTCAGTCATCAAATAACTCTCGTCGAAAATGCGTCACGGTGCTAATTAAGGTCTGAATAATTAAACATTACCCAATGATGGAATTTTAGGCCCTCAAGGGATAAGTTTAGTAATTGTTAATGGGTTTATGACACGAGGAAAATTGTTTCACGGGATATTGGTCATGTTCTCTGTTAGAAGGCGTCTCTACTGTTATTGACTTTGGTTGTGTTTTACGACAAGTCCATCCATATGGCGTCTAGAACTCCAAGTGGTGTTGGTGTAAAATTTTGGTTGACTTTAATTAGGAAGCTGATGTAACATTTAGCAGTCAGTAAGAAGTGTGTAGGAGAAGCGTGGGGTGTAGTGAGTGTAGGTGCAACATGGGAGTGTGTGCAACATCGAGTGTAGTGAGTGTAGGTGTGCAATGTAAGATGTAATGTGAGGGTGCAATGTGAGGCATGGTGTCACTGCAATATGGGGGGTAGTAGTGGTGCAACATGTGATGCAGTGTTTCTGCAAGGAGTGTAACGACATGGGGATGTTGTGAGATCTGATGCAACATGAGGTGTAGTGAGTGTGAGTACAACATGGTGTGTAGTGAGTGTGAGCACAACATGGGGTGTAGCAACATGGGGCGTAGCAGCATGGGGTGCAGTGGGTGAGAACACAGGAGCAGTGAGTGAGGCAGCAGGTACCGACGACAGTGCTGTAAACAAAGCATGGCACAGAAGAATCCACGTTGAACCCGGGGCCCGGGAACACGAGTCTCACGAAACATCATTTTACAATCACCAGCATAAACAGTTACAGTCAATCAGTATTAACGTTACAGTCGTCAGTATCAACTTCACGTATCATTAGTATCAACATCAGCCATCTTGGATGATCTCCCCACAACTACTGTTACGTATCATCACAATCAACAGGGTAGTGAACATCAATATTTCCATATATATTAACTACCATAATTATCGTTAAAACCGTCGTAAAAAACATCTTATATAATTTTATTTTAGTATAACCAGTATATCAAAACCTTATACTCAGTTCACCAGTTCATCCACCAAGGATTTGGGATTTTTTTTTTTACATTTATTTTTTTATAATTTTTTTAACTTTTGTTTGGGGATTTGTCTTTGAATCAATACTCTGTCCAAAAAATAGTGGACCAATACAAGTTTTCAGTTTTCCTTGTATTTTTTTTAATTAATGTTTCTTTTTCTCTCATGAAATGGGAACTTGGAATGAACGAGGGGCGAGTATTGAACAGAATAACTTGTGGACTGGACGTGGTATAACTCTCTCTTTTTCTCTCACTCTCTCTCTCTCTCTCAAGGCGACGTTAAGATGCCACCTCTATTCGTAATCACTTCACTTCACCACGAAACACATACATGAGCCTTTATTCTCCTTCCATGTCTTCTCTTATTTCCTTCATCAATTCCTGTTCTTGCCATCATTTATTACTTCTGTACCTTATTTTATTTCTTATATCTATGTCACACTTCCACTACTTGGAATTTCTCTCTCTCTTTTTTCACATTCTCACTTTTATTTCTATTTCGTTTTCTTTATTTCTCTTTCGTTTTCTTTGTTTCTATTTCGTTTTCTTTATTTATCTTTCGTTTTCTTTATTTATCTTTCTTTTTCTTTATTTATCTTTCGTTTTCTTTATTTATCTTTCGTTTTCTTTATTTCTCTTTCGTTTTCTTTATTTCTCTTTCGTTTTCGTCTCTTCTACATTTCTCTTGTTTTGTAGTTCTATCTAGGGTGTGGGGGAGGGCGTGATCACAGGGGCACGGCGCGCCTACAGAAGAGGTATTCTGAGAACTGCTGGCCCTCCACCCCGCCGCCATTGCTGGTGACGAGAGTGAAAGAGGCGTTGAGAAGGCGTTGGATAGCCTGCATGGACGTTAGCTTGCAGTAGCCGTTCAAGGGGAACCTGGTGGAGGGGGAGAAGATCTGGTCAGGCACAGAGACACAGTTCAACATAAACATGAGAGCTTTGAGAGATAACTTTTAACTCACATAAGAAAAGAATAACATTTTGTCATACAGAAATCTATCTGTTGTTTTGGTTCATGAGACACTCGCCCCCCCCCCTGACTGTTTTATGGTTCTGGCCTTCAAGATGTGGTGGTGAAGGATGACCTACAGCCGAGTCGTGTCACATATTGTCTTTGCTCTGTATGGGATATAAATGTTGATGGACTCGGAAGCAAAAAAAAAAAATAAATAAATAAATAAAAAATAAACAAAAAAATCCTTTGAATGGTTTTACTGCCTCGTGTACATTGGCATTATACTGGCTTTCAAGGGGTTAACTCTCTCTCTCTCTCTCTCTCTCTCTCTCTCTCTCTCTCTCTCTCTCTCTCTCTCTTTCTGTGTGTTTGTGTTACATAATCATATACATAACTGTATTTATATTAATAAGTCGTACGTATCCCGCTATTCTTACCCTTAACATCACTTGCTAATGTTTACAAGATTAACATAACCGATGAAAAGCCCCGCCATGTATTGCTGCCGGAGAGTATGAAATAAAAATGTCCTTCGGGTATTGTCAGTGAACTTTCTTTGCTTAAAAATGAAACAAGTTCAAGAGAGCCTTTGTGCACGTTGAGAAATTCTGTCGAGACATGAGATCGAGAATACACAAGGGTGGGGAGAGGGGAGGAGAGGTGGGGAGAGGGGAGGAGGGAGAGGATTGGGAGAGGGAGGAGAGGTTAGGAGAGGGGCACTTGTTTATATATGATGGGTGTGTCCAAGACTTTCTTTCATGTGTTAATTCTTCAGAGACTCTTCAGAGGGATGAATCGAGTAGTATATTCAGTATCTAAGAACTATATCGAACTACTGTATAACCACCATCTGAGAAATATATCCACTATATAAGAACTAACTATATCCAAGGGCATACTTCAACAATCACACAGGGACAGAACCTCAACCTAAATATTGATCCTGTTGCAATCACCTGTAACTAACTACCACAGAAGTGAAGTGGCCTTATGGGTGTTGTGATTTCAGCTGTATTATAACACAACTTCGTACGCTCTTTTAGGAGAAGTCTTTTGGAGTTATACTGAGAACTGGTTATACTTATGAACTAGTTTATAGTTTCAGGTTCATTCTAGAGACAGAGATACAATAAATCTTTCTTGGGAGATTAAACGCTGACGAGAGATAAAGAGACAAGAACCTGAAAACAAACCCTTCTAGAGATAATAAACCTCACTTATGAAACATTCCTGGTGGTTCTAAAGCCAATATGAACCTCAATCACGAACCCTTGCTTAAATGGTTCGCGTGAGACAGTAAGATACCTGATGATGAAGCGATGGTCGTGGTTCCAGGCGAGAGAGGAGCGGGCATCCATCATGGCCTGAGCTACCTCGGGAAAGAGTTCCTCTATGACACACCTTTCCCCCGACAGCATCACCCGTTCCCCCAGATCCGGGCAGATGTTGAGGGCGATTACCTGCAGGAGGAAGATGTGGGTAGAGAAGGAGGAGGAGAGAGAGGGAAGTCTTAGGCATATATAGATGATGTGGTGGTGGACGTTTGAAAAAGATTGATAAATAAGAGAAGAGTATTTGGATATTTGTAGTCAAGATGGGGGATATGGGCGTTTACAGACACACACACACACACACACACACACACACACACACACACACACACACACACACACACATTAATATTTGGCGTTCCTTCATTGTTTTTTTTTTACGATATTTTGATAGGCGAAAAATTATATATATTTTTCTAAGTCTCAGAAAATTATTGGATACAAATTTTTAACAGGTATTTTTAGGTTGTGTTGAGTCAGTCTCCTGCCGTTCTACATGACTTAACTTATGATATTTTTTTTGTTCGTGGGAATGTTTTTTTTTTCCGAGTGTAAGTTAGTGCAGTCAATGACCAATGGTAAGTAATTCTTGTTGAGTTTAATTATGAAATACTTCCTTACTATCGCCGGTACGACCTTACTATCGCCGGTACGACCTTACTATCGCCGGTACGACCTTACTATCGCCAACACAGCTCCATTACTGTAATTCTTTCTCACCGACATGGTTACACTTTCACCGTCTTGGCCACACCTTAGGGAAACATCTCCACACTATTATATATATGGCCACACGGTTACTAATATGGCCATATGTTACTAACATTACCACACTGTCACCAAGATAAGTATATATTCATTTGCATGGCCTCAAGTTTACTAACATGGCCACAAGCTCACTAACATGGCCACATTTACACAAACATGGCCACAAATTCACTGGGACTTTCAGGAATTCGTAACGTTGTAAAAAAATATTGTACCGTTAAAGAAAACGGAATCCGTCGCTACCGGTTACTAGTAAATGCCCTCGACCGGATGATGAACTAATCCTACCGGTTACCGCCAACGTCATAATATTATTCCACTGACGGGTGCCGGTTTGACGCAATCACTCAGAATGGTTGCCGGACACATGACGTTTTATCTGGGGGTTGACGGCCTGGGTTAACCAATGAGAACAGTTTCCGGCCTGGACTAACCAATGAGAACACTTCCGGCCTAGACCAACCAATTGGACCAGTTTCCGGCCTGGACTAATCAATTAAAACACTTTCCGGCCTGGACTAACCAATAAGAACACTTTCCGGCCTAGCCTAGCCAATAGGAACAGTTTCCGGTCTGGACTAACCAATTAAAATAGTTTCCGGCCTGCAGTAACCAATGAGAGCAGTTTCCCGCCTGCACTAACCAATAAGAAGTTTCCGGCCTGAACTAACCAATGAGAGCAGTTTCTGGACTGGAGTAACCAATAGGAGCAGCTACAGTGTTTCAGGAAGAAGTATCGTACAGGACGTTGTGAGTATCGTAGCTGTTGGTCAATATTACTACAGGTATATTTACCTCACTTAAAAAAAAGGAGATATAAACTTTTCTAATTACGACTGTCGACTTTCTTTTTTCTTAATGGTTAGTTAGGTTTACTTTCTATTTATAATTTTCTTCTCTCTTAAGCTGCCTGTTTTTAAGCTTAGATTGGGGGTAAGCTGTGAGTTATTCATCGGTCTTGTATTGAGCTAAAATTCAAGCTTGACCGCCCCCTCCTCTCTCCGCCCCCCCCCCCCTCGCCCCCAGCCAATCTCAGAGTTCATCCAACATATTTATAACACGACTGATGAAGCAGATTTTACCAACACTGTAATTTTTTTCTTTTACTTACAATTTTATGCAATTTATGAAAAAAATACATTAATGGGAACTCTCTTTGATACAGGTTTTGTATAATGTAATCGCTGCCTAAGGTGTAAATACTTAAGAATTCTTTATATTCATTTTATTTTTGAATTTGTTAATTGTTATTGTTTCTTTGTCATTGTTTTTGTTTGCCAGATATAAACAGAACCAAATATTCTTATTCATTGGAGAGGGCGAGGTGGGGTCAAGGAGGGGGGGGGGTGTAGATTCGATAATAAAGTCTCCCAAATTTTTACAATGAAAAACTTTACTTTTGTTATAAATTCTCACGACAATAGGTTTTTTTTAACGGGTGGTAGGTAGGGGGGAGAGGGGTCAGTAAGGGAAATATTTAAGATTGCAATGGAGTGTTTTCAAGGGTTATATTAATTTACATGTGGTGAGTGTTGAGGCGGCCGGGTGAGTCGTGTGAGAGGTAGGTTGTTTCCCTGCAGCCGTAAACAGTGCAGATAGTTAACACTCTTTTGGCTGTCTCATAATGTAACTGTTACCTTGAGTAGTGTTATTATTGTTTTTTTGCTATTATTATTATTATTATTATTATTGTTATTATTATTATTATTATTATTGTTATTATTATTATCGTTATTATTGTTTTTTGTTGTTATTATGATCATTAGTGTTATTTTTATTAGTTTTTTATTATAATGTTATTGAAGTTATTTTTACGGTGAATTATAATTATCTTTGTTGTCGTTATCAATGGTAATGGGTTAAGGTATAAGGCATAAGGTAGAAGGTATAAGGCCAAGACTTACATCATAGCCCTGGTTCTCGTCCTCCTTCTTGATGCCGTTGACGAGGGACTTGTGTCTGAGGGACGAGGAGTGTGACGACGATTGTGACGTTGATGACGATGATGACGACGACCTGCGGGACTCCTGACGAGCCTTCTTCATCTCCTCCACCTGCTTCACCAGACCTGCGGGGGGAGGGAGGCGTCGTAATGGTAGTGGTGGTGGTGGTGGTGGTGGTGGGGTCATGGTAATGGTGGGAGGAAGTTGTAGTGGTAGTGAAGTGCAGAAAATGTAAACAAACAAGACTTTAAAACATTCGGTGTTACTTTGCTTTCACTGTTTTTGTTTAATGTTTGCAATATAGTTTTTTTGGGGACACTATCATCACTGGCCCGGCGTGAATGGTCGGGGACTTACCGTCAATCTCGAAGTATCTGGCCTCCTCCAAGAGCAGGTCGTGGTCGGTGAAGTCATCAGGAAGGAGCATCCTGCCGTGACGCATGTAGTTGAGGATGTGACGGAACATCTTGCCGTCTCGGTCTATGAAGTAGTGCTGTTTGAGGGAGTCCAGCACGATGGGGATGGACCCGTTGAACAGCCGCGCCAGTCTACTCTCCGGGAACCTGTAGGGAGACAACATAAGCCTTTAATATACTAGTTTATATAAAATTTGGATAATATAAGTCAATGAATGAATACGTGACTATATATGTGGAGTGGAGGTGTAGGTTCCCTTGTGTCCACTAGCTCAGGTACAGTCAGCAGTTAAAGAGTACGTTATTTATAATGTTTTTAAGGTCGTAACTCTTAGTTTCGTACCATAAAATTACTGCCAGCACGAGTAGTCAATCACGCTTGGCGTTCCCCGCCACTTTGTAGTGACACACATACGGAAGCTACACCAAACGAACGTTCGTCCGCTTTCTGCCTGCGGTATCGTTTCCTCACTCCTATAAGAATTCATCACAGGAGACGGCAAAATGAAATTCATGTTTCCACGTGATTTTGTGTTTGCTGTGTCTTGATATGGACAGACTAAACAACGTCTCCGGTCGCCTTCCCTCTATTGACATCAAACACATTTGGCAGTTTATTAAAATATTAAAGTAACAGTAGGACGGAGCAGCTGATCCTCTTCTTGCAGGGCTTTGGCGCACTGGCGGGGGGCAGTGAGTGAGGGAGACCACGAGGACCTTAACACTGTCCTCCAGTACTTGATCCTGGCCGGTCTAACGCCCCTCCTCCTCCTACACTTCTCTTTCTCCTTTCCTCCCAACTCCTTCCTCCCCTGCCCCGCCTACCAACTCCTCCCCCTCTTTCTCTCCTGCTTCTCATACTCCCTCTCCTCCTCCCCCCCTCCGTTCCTTCTTTTACCCCTCCCCTCTCCTCATTTCCCCCCTCCTCCTACCCCTTCCCCTCACCTCCTCCTCCTCGGAGCCCTGTAGCTGTCCTTTCGTTTTCGTAATCCACGAGAAAGTCAGTCAAATTGCAAGAATGTCAATTTGGTCGGGGCAAACAACCCGGGGCCAGGATGCTTTCATCCACCTACTTCTTCCTGCCCCCCGGGGCCCCCGACCCGCCCCCGGAGGCCCCCCGACCCACCCACGGGCGATCCCCGCCTCCTCTTCTCTTCCGCCTGTTTTCTGGGGGCTGGGGCTGAGGGCGAGGACTGGGGATGGCGGGGCTGAGGGTGGGGGATTTAGGTCGGAGCTGGGACCAGAAATGGGACTGGTGGTTGGGGCTGAAGATGGGGCTAAGGAATTAGACCACAAGTGAAGGCTGAAGGTGGGTACCGGGGCTAGAGGAGTGGATTAGGGCTGGGACTGAAGATAGGGACTGGGGCTAGTGGTGGAGGTTGCGGGCTGGGTCTGAAAGTGGGGGCTAAGACTTGGTCCTGGAGATCATAGTTGGTTTATCCAATGTCTCTTCAACATTTCTTCCCCTTGCCTCCTCCTCCTCCTCCTCCTCCTCCTCCTCCTCCTCCTCCTCCTTCCTTCCTTCCTTCCTTCCTTCCTCCTTCCCGTCCTCTTCCCCCTCCTCCTCCTCTTCCTTCTCCTCTCCCCCCTCCTCCTTCTCCTCCTCATACCTAAGGGTTTCTTAAGCCTTTAGGTCCTCAAAAGACCAAAGACCACTCTTCTTTGGGGACCATTTTTTTTTCTCCTCTCTTCTCGTGGTTTTCTCTCCTGGTCTTGAGACATTTTTGGAGAACTGAGAAGTTTTTTTGGAGGGCTGAGTATACTTTCATGATCTGTATACAGTATTTTTTGGAGGGCTGAATATCCACTTTTTTTAACACTTTCCAATTTTTTGTCTTGAGTATCTTACATTTTTATTATTTTTTTTTTGTATTAGTGTGGATAGTTTTTCGACGTTTTAAAAGGACTTTCTTCTTTCATTCTGCGACTTTGTGTTTATTGCTGATGGGCCCAGTGTTTAATTTACTTTTCCCACAAGCTTACAGGTGGACGTCAGGTGAACGATGAACCAATTTTAAGTTTCCCCATGACCCAGTTTGACATTCGTGTATACTATCTTGCCCATCATAATCCATTTTTTTTTTATCAGAATTTTTGAATATTTTTTTTTCTTCAATATTTCAATCTACCCGATGCATTTTCTGGTAGTTTCTCACTTTTTTTGTCTTTGGATTTTTTTTTTCGTGTACTTTGAAGATTTTTTTTCCCGTTGGGGTTAACATGAGGTTTTTAGACAGTCATATGCTATGTTTCTCGGATCAAAAGTTTCATGATTCAAAAGAATTTTTTATTATTTATTTTTTTATTTATTTTTTTTTATTTGTTATTTTGGGGGGATGGCGGCGGTGGGGGGTGTCTCAAATTAACCTCTCTCTCTCTCTCTCTCTCTCTCTCTCTCTCTCTCTCTCTCTCTCTCTCTCTCTCTCTCTTCATAATCCATGATCTATAATACTTTATTCCTGACCTATCCCAAAATGTTTAACCTGTGACCTGTAAACAGTGACTCTTGACCTGTGACCTGTAACAGTGACTCTTGATCTGTGACCTGTAACAGTGACTCTTGATCTGTGACCTGTAACCAGTGACCTGTGACCTTCATGCGGTGACCTGGTGACCTCCAAGTATCTTAATAACAAACACCAAAGCCATCAGGTCTCTGGTGTGTGTTTGTTGTTTGTGTCTTGTTTATTCTGTTGTTTGTGTGTTTACCTTTGTTATGGGGTTTGATAACGTTGTTTGTGATGCCTTGATAGCGTTGTTTGTGATGCCTTGATAGCGTTGTTTGTGATGCCTTATTAGCGTTGTTTGTGATGCCTTGATAGCGTTGTTTGTGATGCCTTGATGGCGTTGTTTGGCGGGTACTTTGCGCCCACGATGGCGTTGTTTGTGATGCCTTGATAGCGTTGTTTGTGATGCCTTGATAGCGTTGTTTGTGATGCCTTGATAGCGTTGTTTTTCGTGGGTACTTTTCCACGATGGCGTTGTTTGATGCCTTGATAACGCGTTACTGTTTGTGATGCCTTGATAGCGTTGTTTTGTGATGCCTTGATAGCGTTGTTTGTGATGCCTTCGCGTGGCGTTGTTTGTGATGCCTTGATAGCGTTGTTTGCAGGACCACCTGTTTCATTGGGGAGGGGAAGGTTGTCTTTGTCGGGTGGTTAGTTTGTGGGGCGTGGGTTTGCCCCAACTTTGAACAAACGCTGTAAAACAGGGGAGGAGGAGGAGGAGGAGGGAGGAGGAGGGAGGGGAACACTAGAGAGAAACTTGGGCGCACCTCGACAATTTCCATGCCATTTACAAGATTAAGGGCGAGTCCGGTTTAACGGGTGGAAAATATGCGATTAAGCGATTCGTGCCGAGGGAAAGAGAAGCCCGCGGGGGGTCAGCCCTTGTGTGCAACTTGTGTTAAATGGCGAAGTTTATTTCAGCCATACTGGGATTTTATTCTAGAATAAACAGAGTATATAAATATCCTTGATTAACATGGTATATATTTAGGGAGGGGAGGTGGAGAATGGAGGAGGAATATATACTGTATATGTAAGTTGACGGGGGCAGGAGGGAAGGGGGTGACATTTTCTGTTTCCAGGGAGATGGGAGGTGCATGGGGAGGGAGGGAGGGAAGGGAGGGGAGGCACAGGGCAAGAAAGCGCCTCAATTGAATTTCATATTGAGGGTGTGTTACGAGAGCCCATTGCTTGAGTTCATCACATATTTAACCTGGGTTTTAGTACACATTATATCCCCGGGTCTTTCTTGTATACAGGGAGTGGCGTGTGTGTGTGTGTGTGTGTGTGTGTGTGTGTGTGTGTGTGTGTGTGTGTGTGGAAGGAGGTGAGTGAGTGTTTATCGACTGTCCGAGAGGTAAACGGTGCCTTGGATTTTGTTAAGGTAGACAGACAGGTAGATAGATAGATAGATAGATAGATAGATAGATAGATAGATAGATAGATAGATAGATTGTATAGTCGTACGTTAAAATCCTGTCGTCTCTCATCCTGAACCCCGAACCCTGAGATTCAGACTCGTGAATCCGAAGCATTTATGGACAGAATAATGCATCAGCGTGTACACAGTGTAATCAGTGTAGGTATATAAATAGTGTACATATATACATAACGCAACCAGTACAGATATTGATGAACAGGAAGTCGATTTGACCATGGTTGAAAAGGCATATGATGTTGGTTGGGTATCACTGTGTGGTTGTATGTATGTGTGTGTTTTCCTCTATACACACACATACACACACACACAGCTTCATCAAGTATGCTCGGGTCCATTCCATCTTCGACAACGGTGTGTGTGCAATCAGCTGCTAGCCTCGGTCCTGCCTGCCCAGTTTGATCAAAATCTACCCAACACAAAAATCATCTCACGTAAACAATTGCAACCAATCAGAACCCTTCAACATACTGAGAGAATATTTTGTGTGGTGAAAATATAATCCTCGGCGTAGTTAGATATAATCCAATTAGTTTGCTGTATGATTAACGTAAGTGGAAAAAATATATCCTTAGTATACAGTAGACTCACGTTATTATTTAAATATTTATATATCATTAAAAAAATGGTCCGCTTTATAACAAAAAATTACTGTCTGGGTATTTCAATGTTTGTTAAAAATGAAAAATCAACTTAACTTAGTTTTATGTTGACTTATATGACCTTTTGTTTATGTTAAATTATGGGTAATATTGACCATGCATGAGAGATTACTGAGGTTAATCCCGTGTGTTACAATTTCATAACAAGTCGCAAGTCGCCCGGTAACTCTACGAATGGCATAGTCTAGAGAAATTTCGACGCCATTTTATACTCTTATCTTTGTTGAGCCAGGTGTATGATTCCTCCCGCCGCCACCACCACCACCAGCAACAACAACAACAACAAGGGGAGTAATTTAGCTAAGAGGGTCGCCATTGGTGCTTAAGAGGGCAGTTTAGGAGTTCAAATGTCCACATAAATTGGTTCTATCTATTCACGGATACAGGTGACGTTAATGATATGTTCCTGGAAAAAAAACATCACGAGCGTCGCATCACCTGTCAATCATTAAGGTAACACAGGGAATAACCTTTCTTAATTAATTATTTACCTGGCCGACGAGTTCTTGGTTCATTAGTTAGCACACCTTGCTAACAGTT